GGTGAAGAAGCTGAAATTTTTCTTGAATTTTCTTCATAATTCTCCCAATACACTTGTCTTATACTTAATTAAATTCATTTAAAACTAGTTTACCATTTTACGATTGATGAAACTTAATAATTTCAACCGTGCCACCATAATATCTTCCAATTTAATATTCAAAAGTCTATGATGAACAAATAAAATTCCACTTTCCACCTTTTTCCATGCAATTTTTTATAATTGCAATTTAGTCACTAAATTTCACAATTTCGGTTTAACATAAAAAATCGACCTTAAGTCCACTGATCCATGTTAAATTTCACTATTCTAAATTATGGAAATAATATTTCCCAGCTTTTCCTATCATCCTTCAAATTTTTGTGAAATTCTAGTTCGATCCGATTATCCGAATTCGTATTGAACTTTACTCCCTTATGGCTTTTAATACAAATCCCAAATAAATTCTGATTCCCATGAATGTCAATTTCAGAATAAACTATTTATTTACGGGCCAAAATATATAACTTTTGAAAATTACATTTTTGGTTCCTAAACTTTTACCAAGTTTATACTTTAGCCACTAAACTTTCAAAACTTACATTTTGGTCACTAGTTAAAATTTGGGGTATTACAATTCTCCCCCTTTAAAGAAAATTTGTCCTCAGATTTTTCATATGTATTTAAATACCCAATGCAAAAAGATGAGAAAACTATTTTTTCATGTCTTCTTCTTGTTCCCATGTAGCTTCATCAACTTTATGATTCTGCCAAAGAACTTTTACCAAAAGGATCTTGTTCCTTCTTATTTGAATCCATAAGTTAATATCTTTATTGGTTCTTCTTCATATGACAAGTCTGGTTAAATCTTAATTTCTTCTTGTGCAATGATATGTGAATGATTCAATCGATACTTTCTAAGCATCGATACATAAAAATATTATAAATATTATCCATTTGCAGAGTAATACTAGCTAATAGGCCATTGAACCAACTCTTTTGATGATCTCATATGAATCAATAATTCTCAAGCTTGGTTTCCCTTTTTTGTTCAACTTGTAATATCTTTTCCCAAAATGATATTTTGAAAAATATTTTATCACCAACTTGGTATTTAATTTCTTTTGTTTTCAAATTTGAATAAGACTTATGTCCGTGGATAGCCATCTTGAGATAATCTTAAATATTTTTTTCTTTATCTTTCTCCTAGGCAACCAAATTTATTCAAGAAAGAAAGGCAAACTCTTGGGCATCATGAGTTATCGATGTCGGTTTATCGCGTATGACGGGTGCTCTATTGTATGCCTGCACTCATTGACTATTCACCTTAAAGGTGGGTCCATCGTCTAAATTCTTGATTTCTATTGCTCCATTGCTATGGACTTGGTGTATGATGAACGGTCCTGACCATCTAGATTTCAGTTTTCCTGGGAATAGTTTGAGTCTTGAATTGTAGAGCAACACTTGTTATCCAGAAAAAATTACCTTGGCAAACTTTTTCTGTCGTGCCATCTTTTCGTTTTTTTCTTTGTAAAGGCGCATATACTTGAGCTCTAAATTCAGCAATTTCATTCAGCTCCAATAACCTTCTTTCTCCAGTGAGTTGTGTGTCCAAATTGAGTTTCTTTATGGCCCAAAATACTTTGTGTTCAAGTTCAACAGGTAAATGACATGCCTTGCCATATACTATCCTGAACGGTGACATGCCAACTGGCGTTTTGAATTTTGTACGGTAGGCCCACAATGCCTCGTCAAGCTTTGGTGACCAATCCTTACGTTTGGGGTTGATTACTTTCTCAAGAATATGCTTGATCTCGAGATTAGAAACTTCAGCGTGCCCATTAGTCTTTGGATGATATGTCGTAGCAATCTTGTGATGCACTTCATATCTTTTCTGTGCGTTAGCAATGAATTTGTTATGGAAGTGAGTACCTTCATTGCTGATAATTGCTCGTGGTACTCCAAAACGTGTGAATATATTCTATTGTAAGAATTTCAACATAGTTTTCGAATCATTACGAGGTGTGGCTATTACTTCAACCTATTTGGAAATGTAGTCGACTGCCAAAAGTATATATAGATCACTAAACGATGAGGAGAAAGGTCCCATAAAATCGATCCCCCATACATCAAATAGCTCAACTTCCAAAATGTTTTGCCATGGCATCTCATTTCTCTTCGAGATGCTCCCAGTGCGCTGGCATCGATCATATGAATTATAGAATTCATGTGTATCTTTGAACAAGGTGGGTCAGTAGAAATCAGAATAATGGACATTTGTTGCAGTCCTTATTCCACCAAAGTGCCCTCCACACGAGGATGAATGGCAATGAAATAGAATCTCCTTATGTTCTCTTTCTCCCATGCATAAGCTTCAACCTTGCACTGCCACGTGTACCCTAAATACCAAAAAGAAACAAAAATAAAGAATAAAATAAAAATAAACAACTCGTGCATAATAAAATAACATAGTTTATTTATGTACAAAATGCAATTTTTGGTTGCCTAGGCAACCAAATTTATTTAAGAAAGAAAGGCAAACTCTTGGGCATCATGAGTTATCGATGATGGTTTATCGCGTATAACGGGTGCACTATTGTATGCCTTCAATCGTTGACTATTCACCTTAAAGGTGGATTCATCATCTAAGTTCTTGATTTCTATTACTCTATTGCTTTGGACTTGGTGTATGATGAACGGTCCTGACCATCTAGATTTCAGTTTTCCTGGGAATAGTTTGAGTCTTGAATTATAGAGCAACACTTGTTGTCCGGAAAAAAATTGCCTTGGCAAACTTTTTCTTTCGTGCCATCTTTTCATTTCTTTTTTTTTGTAAAGGCGAGCACTCTCATATGCTTGAGCTCTAAATTCATCCATTTCATTCAGCTCCAACAACCTTCTTTCTCCAACGAGTTGTGTGTCCAAATTGAGTTTCTTTATGGACCAAAATACTTTGTGTTCAAGTTTCACGGGCAAATGGCATGCCTTGCCATATACTATCCTGAATGGTGACATGCCAAGTGGTGTTTTGAATGTTGTACGGTAGACCCACAGTGCCTCGTCAAGCTTTTGTGACCAATCCTTGTATTTGGGGTTGATCACTTTCACAAGAATCTGTTTGATCTCGTGATTAGAAACTTCAGCATGCCCATTAGTCTGTGGATGATATGTCGTACCAATCTTGTAATGCTCTTCATATCTCTTATGTGCGTTAGCAATGAATTTGTTATGGAAGTGAGTACCTTCATCGTTGATAATTGCTCATGGTACTACAAAACGCGTGAATATATTCTTGTGTAAGAATTTCAACATAGTTTTGGAATCACTATGAGGTGTGCCTATTGCTTCAACCTATTTGGAAACGTAGTCGACTGCCAAAAGTATGTATAGATCACCAAAAGATGAGGGGAAATGTCCCATAAAATTGATCCCCCGTACATCAAAGAACTCGACTTCCAAAATTTTTTCCATGGCATCTCATTTCTCTTTGAGATGCTCCCAGTGCGCTGGCATCGATCACATGACTTATAGAATTCATATGCATCTTTGAACAAGGTGGGTCAGTAGAAGCTGGATTAAAGGACAATTATTACACTCCTCATTCCACCAAAGTGCCCTCCACACGAGGATGAATGGAAATGAAATAGAATCTCCTTATGTTCTTCTTTAGGGACTTGTATGCAGATTATTTGGTCTTCTTCAGGGACTTAATTGCGCTCGTTGTGGAGTAATGACAATAAAATAGAGGCCCCTGGTTTCGAGTTACGTAATGATGATGTCTTGTTCTTTAGAGGACGGTTGTGTGTGCCTACATTCGAACAATTGCGTGGCAAGATTCTCCATAAAGCACATTGTAGTTCGCTCGCAATTCACTTGTGTAGTAACAAGATGTATCTACATCCAATCGCATTCTTTGATTGAGTTTAGATTTGTAGACTTGATTCTTTAACTTCGAGCAACATTAATCACTCTAATCCCTTATCACACCTACTTGATTTTTAGTCATGGTTGAAAACCGCTATTCTTTAACAACTTTTGTAGCCACTCTATTGGTTTTTTAACATCTTTTGTAGTTATCCTAGACATCAATAAAAATTTCTCGTCATTATCTATCACTCTATTAGTTTAGATTTTCTTATAAAATTTTAAAATTTATGAAATTAAAACACAAACAATTCATTTTTTTGTAACTTCGAGATTTGTTGAATTTGGATGGTTCGATGTATTTTTTTAAAAATATGAATGGTAAGAAATATTCTTTCAGGAAGATGAATAACATACCTCAAAGTTAACCTCATTAACCAATTGTCGAAAAAGATCAAAGCATTAGAATGTTGAACCTTTTGATGTACTTTTTGTTACTTTTGAGTGTGTTTCATAAAAAAAATTCAAGAAAGAAGAAGATGAGTGAAAGGAAATGTTTTGGTATCAATTTTTTCACGAAAGACGATTGACGACGAGTGGTGATTAGTCACTAGTGACAGCCAGTACAATTGACTGTTTTCTACTGAAATAAAAAAGATAATGACAACTTCATCACATCGTTAATTATTAGAATTTTAGTGGAAAAAATAGAAAAGTATAGTGATAAAATTGAAACTTTTATAATTTAATGACCAACATGAGATAAAATCTAAAGTTGATTAACTAATGATATGATTTACCCTAATATTTAATATATAAGTCTATTTTATAAAAGACAATTTCTTCGAAGTAAACTAGAAATCAATGAATTGTTTTAAAATATATTTTTATATAAAATAATTACTAAATTTATAGTAACTCTCAAAATTCCATAAATTTAATGATTATTTTTTAACATTATAGTGACTATGTTGAAATAGTTTAATAAATATATTGATTAGTTTATAATATTTAAAACGTTATTGACCAAACAGATTATATGAGAATAGTTTAGCAGCTTAGAATGTGTTTTACCCTTTTCTTGTCTGTAATATGCTTGATAAATAAACGCGAATTATAATAATGTATTTCCTTGAAGATAGGGAAAAGATAGAAATCTAGTCGATTTCAATTCAAAGAAGCAAAATTGACATCAAACTCGATCAATACACTTAAATAAACCCCAAATTTTTAACCCTAATTTCTTAAATTCCCTCCCTGATTCAAATCTTACTTTGCAAACTAAGGAAAAATCCAGCCATGGGAAACACCGAGAAGCTCCTGAACCAGATCATGGAGCTGAAGTTCACGTCCAAAACGCTGCAACGCCAGGCGAGGAAGTGCGAGAAGGATGAGAAATCCGAGAAATTGAAGGTGAAGAAGGCGATCGAGAAAGGTAACATGGATGGGGCTCGGATCTACGCCGAGAATGCTATCCGCAAGCGCACTGAACAGGTGAACTACCTCCGGCTCGCCTCCCGACTCGATGCTGTGGTTTCCAGACTCGATACTCAGGCTAAGATGATCAGCATCAACAAGTCCATGGCTAATATCGTCAAGTCATTTGAATCTACCTTGGCCACCGGTAACTTCTCCGTAAAAGTTTAATTTTTAAATCCTTCATCGTCTTTGTTTATTCTTTTGTGGCTAATAAACTTTAGCGCAATTAATAGTTAGGTTTGTTTAGGCTTGAACTAAAGGAGAACAAAAAAAATCTTTCTTTGAAGAATTTTTCTGCATCTAAGATTATTATGAAGATAAATAAAATTTCGTTTTTTAAAAAAAATGAAGTTAATTTTGATCTGAAAGCGTTCAAACTTGAGGGTTTTTTCTTGTTGCAGTCAACTTGCAGAAAATGTCTGAGACAATGGATCAATTTGAGAAGCAGTTTGTAAATATGGAGGTTCAGGCAGAGTTTGTGGAGAGTGCTATGGCTGGCTCCACTTCATTATCCACACAAGAAGGTGATGTCAACAGCTTGATGCAGCAAGTGGCTGATGACTATGGGTTGGAGATTTCCGTTGGTTTGCCGCAGCCGGCTACCCATGCCATTCCAACGAAGACACAGGAGAAGGTTGAAGAGGATGGTTTGTCTAGGCGGCTTGAGGAGCTCAAAGCTAGAGGTTAAAGAAAATGTTGCAAATATAATAGACAATAATATTTCTGATTCTAATTGCAGCGTAAAGATCATATTCTATGTGTACATTTGACTGAATTCGATTTCTTTTCGAATTTTATATGCTGTTTGTTTTTCATATAAATGAGCTGATACCTTTAAATCCCTGTAAGAATGTGGATATATGGGATGCCTGCGTCTATGTGAATGCATTGGTAGAGAGGCTGCCTTGTTGCCATGATGCTTGAAGCTTAAACCTGTGTTAAATGACTATGCTACTCAGACTTGGTAGTGATTATCAATGTCTCTTTAAGGATATCCAAATTCATGGAAAAAATTTATAAAAAATCGAATATACTCGTACAGGATACATGTTCCTGTCCAACACTTGCACCTAAATCCGGGTCAAATACCAAAAACTCTGGATGCTAATCCTAATAAAGGATCCAAAGCACTAGGAGCAAACTTCCTAGCAAAAAGAAAACAAATAGTTGAAGGTTGGTCGTTATAGAGACATGCCTGACCTTCAAAGATTCTCTCAAAGAAAGCAACAGTCATATCTTCCTTTCCAAATGTGGCTGGATGAGCGCCACCCCTTGACCAGTCGGTCCATGTAAGGGTCCGGTTGGCTAAGAGATGAGGCACTTGGATGGTTAACATTGTGGTGAAATAGTGCTCATCCACATAACAAGCTGGTTGGCAAAACTCCTTGAACTTTGGATAGTGTTTGGTGTCCTCAATTATGTTAACTGCAAGCCTCCTGTCAACTTCGAACCACTGAGACCCTTTGCGCCATTGGCTGAGTTTGACCTCCGGTTCCATGCGTGAATCGTACCGGCCCCTCCCGTAAGGTCCGGGATCGTCATACGATTCCAAGAAGCTGTGTTTCGAACTCGATATGTAGTGATAGATTACGCTGAAATTATACAGAGGGATGCAAGATTCCGACAAGAGAATGAACCATTCGTTGGAGATATCGAGCAATGCGTTCGCAAGGAGTCGCCTCTCTGCCTCGCACATACTCATCTTTCCCCACTCCACCATCTGCATATTCAGACAACTTGCAATATCAGCCCAATACCCATCAAAGAAACAGAAGTTAATGTAACTTGATTTGCTAATACCTGACTTGGGATTTGTCTCCCACGGAAAGCAGAAGATGATGGATAGCCAGCAACGTAAGATGGCAATGCATGAACGTATATAGAGTAATGCCTTTCATTCCCCTCGAAAAACTTGTCCCAAAGAGGAGCCAATGGCAATGGCCCTTTAGTCAAGAACATGAAGGCAATCTTGGGGACCCTCATAAAAGGATATTCCTCGATTTGAGGCACAAATGAAGCTCTCCAAAGTAGTTCATTGTCACTGATTGAATGCCACAGGTTTGATGGAGGCCTAATCCATCGTTCTATGGTGTCGGTCTCGTCGAACCATGGGTGTAAACTGGATGGTGCTACGGTGCCTGTTTGCTGGAAAACAAAGAATCGAACCGAATACATACAGATGATCGACAATCCGATCACCATGACAGCAAATAGCAAACAAAATAGTAGGAGTCTAAAAGGCAATGTCCTAGAGATGTTTGTTCTTATTACACAAGCCTGGTCTTTACCTTCCTCCATTCCCAACAACCTCGATTGCATCTTCTGGCTATGTTTTTTGCTCTATAAACCAACCCAAGAAACACCCTTTTTTACGATAAAAACATCTGCAAACGCATCACATACAGAAACGGATAGATCACTGATATAAATAAGCAACGTCTGCAATTTGGGTATTTGAAAAAGAAATTTAAAAAAGGCAATGAAAAGTGAAACCTTTGGATATGGGAGAACAAGTAGAATTCTTGTGTGTTTAGAATGTAGATCGTTCTGAGAAGATGAAATCAAAAATGTATGGTTAAGTCTCAATCTCTGAACCTATTCTCTCGTTGATCTCAACTGATTTCACAGATAATATATTTGGAATTTTATATAAATTTGGGTCACATTTAAAAATATAAAAAATTGGTTGTCAAAGACAACATTATTTTAAGTAATAAAATTCAGGGGGTGCTTTGCTTGGACCTACAAAACAAACTTGCCAAAATGATTGTCAAATCCCAATCTTTATTATTGAAATATAATAAGAATAAACCTTACAACTACGATGAGTAAGTGACAATCTCAAAATGGGACATTGTATACGTGGATTCAGCTCTCCCAACTTACACAGCTATGGTGGGATGAAAAGTTGTACAAAAAATCCACAAATATTACTATCCTTAATACAGCATAGAAAACTGTATCTAAACATACCTCATACTTATTCAATCAAAACATTCTTATTATAAATAGAAATATGTTATACTTCTTTCGGATCTTTTCTACAAATAATTCCAAAACAAGAGAGAAAAATTGCATTTTAGTCACTAAATTCCCATTGTTCAGCCAAATCTAAAAAAATAACTTCAATTCCACTGATCCATGCTAAATTTCACTGATCTAAAATATGGAAATAATATTTCCAACCTTTATCTAGCATCCTTCACATTTTTCGTGAAATTTCGATTCAACTCGATTATCCAATTTTTATACCGAACTTTATCGCTTTATAGCTTTTAATAAAAATCACGTACTGAAAATATGATTCTTACGAAAATTCTTGTTTTAGGACAAACTATTAATTTAAGGTATAAAATATATAACTTTTTAATTACATTTTTGGTCCCTAAACTTTTACAAAGTGTATACTTTAACCACCAAACTTTTATAACTTTTATTTTAGTCACTAACCAAAATTTAGGATATTACAAGGAAACTCCCCAATGAGTTGCTTCTGTGACACTTAGAACCATCGTCGTGAACCGCCTTAGCAAGCTAGCATCTCTTAAGGTCCTAGTTGTTACCCCTTTGAAGCTCTGCTATGGAGGACACCACAAAAAGAGTTCAAGAAGGAAGAAACATAGAAGAATGGTGCAGCCGCCTTTCACTCTTTTCTCTCTTAGGTCACCTTCCAAAAGTCTCTTTAAATGTAGGGTACCTTTAGCTATTTATAGTATGAAATTTTCTAGGGTTTTGGGCCCTAAATTCCCTTTGTACCCAAAGACGTCATACTTTTTACGTGAATGGGTGATTAGGCTGACAAGTGGTCCAAAAATAGAAGCATGGCAATGTGTCACGTGTGGTTAGACAGCATAACATGTTGATATTTATGCTATTTTGTCTTTTCTGCTCCCAAATTTGCTATCCAAAATCGATGTTTCATTTCTTTATCTTTATCAGCTCAACAGTCCTGCAAATCTCCTTATCCAGAATGTTAAAGTAGCCACAACTTCTCCTTAAGCTTTCCTCACCTGCACGACACCAAAATAACAAGACCTTTCCCCTTAGCAACATCAATTTTCAAAAAAACAAATATTCCAGCAAAACATTACCACCAAATGTAACTACATAGCCCTAAATGCAACTAAATACTATGGCATGAGCTCTTAAACAACTAATAACTTAAGTAAAAAGGCATAAAATATAGCCTCTTAAACAACTACATGGTCCTAAATGCAACTAAATACTATGGCATGAGCTCTTAAACAACTAATAACCTAAGTAAAAAGGCATAAAATACAGCCTCTTAAACAACTACATGGTCCTAAATGCAACTAAATACTATGGCATGAGCTCTTAAACAACTAATAACCTAAGTGAAAAGGCACAAAATATAGCTTTTTATGGGGTTATCAACTCTCAAATCAATCACAAGCGGAGTCACGAAGCTATCATAATGTTTTTAAACGAAAGTTATCTTTTTTAAAAGAAAACTCTAATTTACAACTTATTTTGAAAAATTAAAGTAATTTGATTTGGAGTCGCTAGCGACCTTTGAGTTAGGCAGATCGAATATCTAAAAAAATCTTTTTAAAACAATTTTAAAAAATCATTTAAAAGATAGAAGTTGGTCTGCGTTTACCAAAGACTCATTTTTAAATGCATGGAAAATGATTAACCCCTCCCCTCGCCCACAACGTCCAAAATTAATACCTAATCGTTTATACATTGTCGTAATGGACTTTTCATATTCGAATATATATTTAAAATGTGATATTTTATTCTGAAAATCCAACGAGAGTTGTGCTTCAGCCATTTGGAAGTCTATCTCATCGATTTTTCAAATAAGACAATGTTGCCTCTTATTTACGCGGACAAAAATACGCACGACTCGAATATGAATATATTAAAATGAAAAATGACAATCAAATGATTAAAATTGCAAACAAAGAGGTTGAGCACATTATTATTAATATTATTAAATGAAATTTTATTTAAAGAAAATAATAAAATACCAATTCATTTGAATAATTTTACGGAATTGTGTTTTAGTTATTTAGAACACTTTTCCATTAATTATTTGATCAGAAAAATATAAAAAATATATATGAGTATGCATTTTATTAAAAAAATAAAAATAAACTCGATTTTTTTTCAAGATCACCTTTCGTTCTAATATATCGAATTGCGCAACAGCGATTAAGACGGATTTTCATGACCCACTCTACGATGAATTTCCTTGAAAATATATGAGTAATACATTTCTAAAATATACTGACATATGGGTATTCTATAAATAAAAATAAAATAAAATAGTAATATAGAGAGAGAGACAGACAGATGGGTTAAGAAGTATTTAATAAGTAAATATATATAAATGATATAATACATACATACATAAAATGTGCATATATAAAAAATATAACACATCTAAATATATATACATGTTAAAAATGAAAAAAAATCATGCAATCATTATAGGGACTAAATCACGAGAGAAACAAAACAATAAGTATGAAACGTGAATAAACCCCCTGGACTTTAAACATTAAATCAAAGACAGTGACTAAAATGAATACAAAGATAAATATAGGGCTTAAAGCATAAATTACACATTCTCATACAAAGGCATACATGACGGACCAAAATGCAATAATCCAAGAAAATGGACCAAATCAAGTTCATTCAAAACTCGAATGGTTTCGTGCACAATATGACCAATGCGTTAAATGCATGTACACATACCAAACACCAAAAAATTTAAGGGAGCTCATTTTTATATCTAGCTTCAAAAAGAGAGAGAGAGAGAATGCTACAGCGTTTTGCAGGGAAAA